ATGGGAATATAAATCTCTTCGTGGAATTTTATAAGGATCGGTCCATAATTGACCCTACCCCCCATATAAAGTCCCCTTCAGAAAATGACTTTATCGTACATAACTGGCTAAAAAACAATCGATAGAGGTGAAATTCGGCACGAACATGTTTTATGGGAACATAAATCATTTTGTAGAATTTTATAAGGATCGGTCCATAATTGACCCTACCCCCCATATAAAGTCCCCTTCAGAAAATGACTTTATCGCCCATAACTGGCTAAGAGAAGCATCAATTGCGGTGAAATTCGGCACAAACATGTTCTATGGGAACCTAAATCTCTTTGTAAAATTTTATAAGGATAGGCCCATAATTGACCCTACCGCCCATATAAAGTCCCCTTCAAAAAATGACTTTATCGCTCATAACTGGCTAAGAGATGCATCAATAGCGGTGAAATTCGGCACAAACATATTTAATGAGAACATAAATCTCTTTGTAAAATTTTATAAGGATAGGTCCATAATTGACCATACCGCCCATATAAAGTCCCCGTCAGAAAATGACTTTATCACCCATAACTGGCTAAGAGAAGCAGCAATAGCGGTGAAATTCGGCACAAACATGTTCTATAAGAACGGTTCCCAAATGGGGGTCCGTGGACCCCTAGTGGTCCGTAGTAAAATCCTAGGGGGTCCGCGAAGACAAACGAAAAAAGCCATGAATAAACAATATTCTGCTTTTATGCAATAATCCCAGATTTTTTGGTAACTTTTTGAATTTTATTTTTTCGGTTGTTTATCAGGAAGAAGCTAGGCCCTACAAATTTATTGTATCACTTTTATAAAGTAAGATATTGCCTGATATGTAATTTTTATTTCCTGTATATGTAGTGAAACAATGTCTTTTTATTTCAGACGGATAATAAATAAGGGATACTGGTATTCCGGAGTATGAAGTTAGGCCACATTTTATAATTCAAAGACAAGCTTATACCAGATTTAAGTTTGTCAAATTGTAAGCAAAAGTGTTCTTGTTTGTAAGGACTAAAATTATATATTTCAAAAACTGAGGTGACTCTTTATGCACCTTCAATACGTTAATTTAGTTAATTTTAAGTATAAATATTCCCTTCCGACGTGATAGAAAGATTTTAACTTGATTTTATCGACCAATATTATTAAATTAACATCAGAAAATCCATAGCGTTTTGCGTAAATATGTAGGCAAAACCATGCAGTAAAAGAGTTCATGTCATATATTATACGGATAACGCATTCCGCAACAACATGGAACAAGTCCAACTTTCTTATATTATTTTCCCGAAAACTTAGCTCACTTTACCCCTCTGTAATCGCAATAAATTTTTGGAACGTGACTCCTTAAGCACATGTCGACAATATTTGATAAAGAAACCTTTTTGCTACCTTGAAGAAAAATGAACATGAAAGATCTCACGATCATAAAATTAAACATCATGTTAACATTTCAACAAAGAAGTCTTTCTATCTTCAAAACCATGCAATTAAAAACCTATCGGGAATATTTTATAGATATGACATCTCAACATTTATTTGACCTAGGGATTTATGGACTAGGTCAATTTTCGGACGAACAATTATTTAGAACAATAAGATATCAAAATATGTATGGAGGTCCGCGAAATTAAATAAGTTCCTCAAGGGGTCCGCGAAGTAAAAACCGGTGGGAACCGCTATTCTAATTGATGGCAGACTTCGGACGACAATTGACAGTACCCCGCATATAAGGTCCCCTACAGAAATTTACTTTAACGCTCATAACTGGATTAGTAATAGGGATGCCAAACGGAATCCCGGAATATTTCAGGATTACATAAATTTAATTATTTTATATACGAAAATCTTTAAATCTTCATGTTTGTAAAAAAAATTAATTTTGTGGAATTTTAGCAGACAGAAGATATATTTAAATTAAAATTAACTAATTCCAATTTTAAAATAAAAACTTGTAGGCCCATTATTATGACTTGTCAATAACTAAAGTTAGGAAGTTATCGTACAGATAATGTGTTTTTCGTTATTACAAGTCAACTTTAGCTAAAAGTGTCCGATAGGCTACCGGGAAGATCACGTTACCTTTAACTTTTAACGTAAGCTTTAATCATTTTTTAAAAATATTAATAAAAAATAAATTCTATGTCATTTTTCATATGAAAAATATTATTAATGGCTAAAAGTATGCTACGGTTTTTGTATATTAAATAATTATGTTGTAATAATGAAAATATTTAAAGTTCACTTTATTCCTCACTTTAAAGTTACCTTTTATTATTACGAACATTAAAGACAAGTTGTAATAATGGCCCTTAGAATTTCATAATTTCTGAAACCGTTTAACTACATACTTCCTAATAAAAATAAATATGAAGTTCCGAAATTAGACGTAAGCACTTTTTAAAACCGCATCAATTTAGAACTTTTTCTTTAAAAAATATTTGGAATTTTGTCGACACAAAATACATATTAGTTTTGGAATATAACATATCCGCAGTAATTTTTGAAAATTGTACGTATAAAATTAGCTGTGTTGAATTTTGCTTTGCATAAGTCAAAAATAAAATAAGATCGTAAATTAAAAAAAATTGAAACAAATCCCGTGATTCATTTCGAAAAATCCGGGATTTCGGGATTGAAATATGTAGCAAAATACGAAAATGTACTCAAAAGCATCTAGCATTTTTTCAAATTTTTAAATGCCGTTACCCCATGTCTATATTAGAGAAATATTTATCACGGCTCCTGACAAAACGTCGGCAGAAAATTTTTCAGTTTTTTGTTTATGTTAATGCATATGGGTAAGAAAATGCTGATTTTGTTACGACAACTCACAGATAATTTTATTGAAATAATGCTATCTATCTATCTATCTATCTATTATCTATCTATCTAGCTATCTATCTATCTATCTATCTATCTATCTATCTAATCTATCTATCTATCTATCTATCTATCTATCTATCTATCTATCTATCTATCTATCTATCTATCTATCTATCTATCTATCTATCTATCTATCTATCTATCTATCTATCTATCTATCTATCTATCTATCTATCTATCTATCTATCTATCTATCTATCTATCTATCTATCTATCTATCTATCTATCTATCTATCTATCTATCTATCTATCTATCTATCTATCTATCTATCTATCTATCTATCTATCTATCTATCTATCTATCTATCTATCTATCTATCTATCTATCTATCTATCTATCTATCTATCTTGAAATCTAATCTTGAAATTTTCACAGTGTCTTCCTCTATGTCTGGAAGGAACTAAAGGCTACCTCTTATTTCAAAATGTCAAGTGGGGCGCCCACATACAAAAATGGGCAACTTTGGGGCAACTTTGACATCCATATGAACACATGTTGACAAAATTAACAGCCTATCTACAGTGGGAGTGGCACCTCCCATACAAACAAATCTTAAATTAGTATACCTGTAAAAGTATAACAGCTAGAATCCTCAATTTTTTTCGGAGCCACTTTAGTATCGACACGAATATTTAGGACAAAAAACTGGTGGACTAGCAATAGGGGGCGTGGCATCCCCATAGGAATTACATACTAAAATGTATTTACCTGGGAAACTATTGTAGTTAAAATCTTAAAATTTTGCACTAATACCTAAGTCCATAAGAATAGTTGTTGAGAAAATGGGCGGAATGGCTATAGTGGGCGTGGTACTCTCCATAAGAATAAAATGTTAAATCCGTATATCTGAGAATATATAACAGCTAGAGTCCTCAAATTTTGTCGGAACCACTTTAGTGTCAATGTGATTATTTAAGGAAAAAAGGGGGGGACTAGCCCCTATAGTGTTTTTTAATTTACATTGCTTTTAGGGTAGCAAAGCACACTGGGAATAGCTAGTATTTTATAAAAACAATTAAAATTAATTTTATACATAAACACTAATTTTACTAAAACTTATGTTAAAATCAACTCTATTTGCACAAAAACAAAATTCTAAACAAATTTTACAATAAAATAACGTTTGTTATCAAGACAACGTTGTCTAAACAATTGTTTAGACAACATTGTCATAACGATGCTATAACGTTAATAAATGCCGTCTGTACCTGCTAATTTTTATCATGATAACAATTTGACGTTTAGCATAACAAAAATTTATCTTATCTAGACACGGGATTATGGCAACACTTCTCTGCAGAGTAATGCCTTTAGTAAAACCTTTCTTTCCCATTCAAATTAATAAACAATTTAAATATACATATGTACATTAGGGAAATAACTAATTTGGCGAAATTTTTGGCATACGACCAAGTGATAGCCAATGTTGTATAAGCAGTGAAAATAATTTTTTTATGTCATTTGGAAGCAAAAACATCACGCCCCAACACCAATTTCTAATATAAACCAAATTTTTTGTTCAAGTTCTATTTTTTATTTTTAATTTTAAATACTGGTATTTATACCGATGTGATGTGACAAAAGCAGACTTTTCGGTGGAAATGTGTATATACATACATTTGGGCTATGACTTTATGATGTTTTTGCAAATATAAAATTTTACATCCTCCAATCAAAAAGTCCATAAAACATAATATGAAACACAACACTCCCGCACCAAATGTTGAAATTTATTGATCGTATTTGTTTTGATCATATCTTTCATACCTATAGATCGATTTTACTGGTTTTACACAGAGAAATTTCTAAAAGTATATCTAATAAAATAATCTAAGATTTAGAATTAAATGGCATAAGGGGCCTTCAAAAAATTGATTTTAATAAACAGACGGACAGACATTTGGTGCGTGAATTTTTTTAACAATTCGAAAAAATAATACCGTGGTGTTTTAATGCTCTATTCGACTTAGCTATGCCAACTTGCAAAATAAGTATGTCAATATCCCTAATGTACATTGTACATATGTACATACATACATATATTTGGTTTATTAAAAAAGTTTATTTACATATATACATATATCTTATTTATTTTCAGGCGATAATCCGGCAGCAATGTATCATGGAGATGTAGGATCATCGACGAAATCATATCAGACACATCTGCTTCATATTATAATGACAATTATAGCAATGATATATCCTGCATATGTAAAAAGAAAAATTATATAATTATTAATTGTTCCTTTAGATTCTAAGTAATAAAAATAATAATATAAATCATTGAAATACCTAAATAACGCTGTAATAAACATTTGAAAACTTAAATGAATTACCTAAAAAGGTTTTAATGGTTATAAGTTTTAAGGAAATTATTTTTATACCCACCATCAAAAAAGATGGGGTATATATTTTTGTCATTCCGTTTATAACACATCGAAATATTGGTCATAGACCCACAAAAGTATATATATTCTGGGTCCTTATTAAATTCTAAGACGACCTATCCGTCTGTCTGTTGAAAGCACGATAGAGTCCGAACGAGAAGAGCTAAGGAGCTGAAATTTTGCATAAATATTTTTTATTGATGCAGTTTGTTTGGTATATCGGTCCATGTTTTCACATAGCCCCCATACAAGTGGCCCCCCGAAAAACAGTGTAAACAGTCATAGATGGTTTAAAAACATAAGAATGTCAATAAAATTCTTCATAAACAAGTTTTATATTATTCAAAATCACCCTACCGAATTTTACGAGAATCGGTCCATAATTGACCCTACCGCCCGTATAAGCTCCCCTTCAGAAAATGACTTTCACTCATAACTTGCTTCAAAATGATAGTTAAGCTACATTATTCAACTTAAACAAGTTTTTGGAGAACCAAAATACTGTGTTTTGGAAATCGGCCCATAATTGATCCTTTAGTGGTTAATGAGTTAGGTGAACTAAATAAAACTCAAACACTAAATTTTATATAAAAAATTAATTTATTTAAAAATAATAAAAGAAAAGAATTTTTTTACGAACACTCAAAATTAAAATTATCAAGAAGAATGAAAAATTATTTTTCAAAAGCAGAAATCTTATTAATATAAAATGCAAAGATATATTGATTAAAAATATTTCAAGAAGCAAAGTGTTGTTTTCAAAAAGTATTTTTAAATGTTAAAATATTATAACGCCACAATCCTATCCCCCATATAAGCTCCCCTTCAGTAAATGACTTTAACTCTTACAACTTGCTTCAAAATGATAGTTAAGTAACTAAATTCAACGTATATAAATAAAAATCTCACTTTCAAATTATATGAAGATCGCTTCATAATTAACCTCCCCCGATATAAGGTCCCCTCATAAAATAACAATAACGCTCATAACTTGTTGCGAAATCATAGTAAAGCAACAAAATTCGACGTAAACAAGTTTTCGGAGAACTTAAACCTCTATACCAAATTTTATGGAGATCGGCCCATAATTAACCTTACCCCTCATATAAGGTACCTCTCAGAAAATTACTTTAAAGCAGCGTTTAAATATGCAGCAATAGCACAAGATTGCTTTTGTACGACTATGCAATAAATATAAAACTTTAAAATTTTTCCATCACTTTACTACTAGAAATATTTGTTCTGTTTGCAATTTTTGTTAGCAGGCGCAAAATATTTCAAAACAATCAAAATATATTTTTCTGTTTTAGCAGCGCACGCACACAACAGTCGAACTACTATTGCCGTAGAAAAATTGTGCAATAAATTGTGTTGGTTCTACTACTGCCAGTAGCAAAATGAGCAACTGTCAGTTGCAATTTATCGTACTTTTTATAATATGGCGGCACCTTATACATGTTTCAGGTTTTCTTTGTGATTTGCTGTACTTTTTTACATTGTTTGTTTTTATAATAACCAGAAATTAACCCAATGTTTTCACGCTTCTATTTGTTATTCTAGAATGTTGAAAAATTTTCCGTTATTGTGTTTGCTGTCTATTTTTGATAAACAAATTGTTTTTAGGGAAATAACCGTTTTAGTGTTTTTGTAACATGATTACCAATAAGTGTTTAAAAAATAAATAAATTGCAACTGGCAGTTGCTCATTTTGCTACTGGCAGTAGCAGAACCAAAACAACATACTGCTGCTAGGAAAAAATTAGCAAAAAAATATATTTCGATTGTTGTACAAACGCAGAAAACGAATACTGTGAATGTGAGCTGCTAAAAATTTCAAAGTAATGTTGCAATTTTTATTAGTATTATATTAATAAATATGTGTATTTTACTGCAAGTGGTTACTAATATATCAGTAAAATTAAACGTTGCTTTAAAGTTCATAATTTGCTTCAAAATTCCAGCATATCAAATTGACATTAACATGTTTTATGGAAAACACGAAATTCAGCAACGAAATTCGACACAAATAACTTCTTCAAAATTATAGTAATGCAATGAAATTCGACATAAGCAAGTTTTATAGGAACATTGCTCTAACCGTTTTTTGAAGATTGGTCCATGATTGGACCGACGGCCTTTCTCATAGAATGACATTAACGGCCATAACTGGCTCAAAAATACCAGTATATCGATAAAATTCGCCATGAACTAATTTTATAGGATCTAAAATCATTCCCCTATCGACGGCCTTTCTCATAGAATGACATTAACGGCCATAACTGGCTTAAAAATATCAATATATGGAAAAAACCTTCATATAAGGCTTAGAAAGCATTGATGATCGACCTAACAAGTTTTACTGAAAACAAAATCTTTGTAAAATCTTAGGAGGATCGGTCCAGAATTGACCATAAGTAAATTTACATGAAATCAAATTGTTAAAAAAATTATTAAATATGATAAAATAAGTACTACCATCACCCTGACTATATTACTATTTATATATGGTAACTCAGTTAAGAAAAAATTCAATAAATGTTTAAATTGTGGTAACAAAAACATCCATATATACAGTATAGGTAGGCCCATTTTCGCTTGAAATTTTAGCACATGATTTGATGGTGCGTATATAAGATTCGGCACAGACGAATATAGCACTCTCACTTGTTTCAATTTATTTATTCTTTATTATTTTAATACAATAAGGGCCAATCTTTAGGTGAATGATTAGCGATTAAATTAAAATTAATCCTCGAAAGATGTTTTTGAGTACTCAATTAGTTAATTTTGTTTGCAAGTTTAAGCGCCCAATGGAGGTGGTTTAAACTGAAGAACGAAATGCAAAAGTGCAAACAGCTGATGCAAAAATATTAATACAATTTTTATAAATATAAACATTAAAATGTTCTATTTATTGAATGGTATAAATTATGGACACCTCAAAATACATTTTTTTTGTTTTAAATTTAAGTTTTAATTAACTTTCATATTAAATTTACATTGTATTCTTCTTTTTTATAAAATAATAGCTAAAACCCGGCGTACTTTGCTACTCCTGTCGATATAAAATAAAAACTATTCAAAATATATTGAAATAAATTTTTGGTTTAGGAAAATTTTAATAATATTTGTTTATCACTATTCAAAACCATAAGGTAAAATTATTGATAAATTGAAGTTTATGTATATCATTTCTTATTCCTATTCATTAGCATAAATTTACAAAATATTAGAAAATTACTAAAATATAATTGACTTCATATTTACAATTAAAATTTTTCTTTATAATTATTTCCTATTCTAAAGCCTTGGGATATACAATATTTCTCGTTTTCCCCTCAGGCGCGTAGATATACAACATGCAACATAAAGCCGACCATGTGATAAGCATGGATTTTCGAGATTTATTCCATACACTTGCAGGGATTGACCCTGAGATTTGTTTATTGTCATCGCGAAGTTCAAACGTATAGGAAATTGCAACCGTTTAAAGTCCAATGGCATATCCGATGTTGTCATTGGGATCCGAGGTAGTAAGACATCCCTTCCTTAATATTGGCCAGTTATAATCGTTGCTTCGATTAAGTTGTTCATTAATTTCTTAACTGTTAATTGAATTTTCAACTTCAGTTCGTGGAGTGGAAAGCATGGTAAATCAAGTGTATTCAAAAATTCTCCAGGATAATTGACGACATCATCATTATTTGTAACAGTATCGATGGATTTATATGTTTTTAAAATACCATAGATTCTATTCAAAATAATATTATTGATACAATTAACGTCAATGTTTTTGGGTGCCAGTAAAGCACGCTCACATAACCACTGCCTATTTTTGAAATTACGTTGATGATTTGGAAAAACACAATTTATTAAATCTTCCTTTGATTGTGTGATCCTGCAAAAGTTTCTATTCAAAATAATATTATTGATAAAATTAACGTCAATGTTCTTAGGTGCCAGTAAATTTTCTGTCACCAAATTCTCTAAATCTTGTGGATTGTAAACCATTTTACGTTGCAGATCTTGGTCATTTGCTCTAAATAATAATATGAATACTTACTACAGTGACTTTCAAAAAATTTGAGACTCAAGTTTCCAAGATACATAAATTTAAGTATTTTCTTTATTTTCATATCTCTAATCTAGCAAGTGTGTTTTGCTATCCTAAAGTTATAATAATTAAAAACTTCCTTTACGATTTTTTAAGATTCTAGCTCTTACAGTTTCCCAGATATACGAATTGTTGCATTTAATTTATATGAAAGGTGCCAAGCCCCTATTGAATGTCAGAGTTTTTGTGCAAAATTGAGGATTCCAGCTCTAATAGCTTTCCAGATACACGAATTTTTGTACTTAATTCATATGGGAGGTACCAAGACTGCCTAAAAGTTGCTAGTCCGCCCATTTTTGTCCTAAACATTCAATTTTATACTAAAGTTCCTCCGAAAAAAATGAGGACTCTAGCTGTTATATTTTCTCAGATATACTAATTTAAGATTTTCTTTATATGGGAGGTGCCACGCCCACTGTAGCTAGGCTGCTAATTTCATTCCCATGTATTCATATGGATGTTAAAGTTGTCCATACAGAATTTGAGGACTCTATCTCTTACAGTTTCTGAGATAAGCTCTCTTAATACTTATTTTGTAAATGGGCGTGGCACGACGCCCACTTGAAATTTTGAAGTAAACAGCAGAATATAGTTCCTTCCAGACGTACATGAAGACACTATGAAAATTTCAGAAAAATTACTCCAGCCCTTTAGCTGTCTATAAAGTCCAATAAAAAAAAAAATAAACGTACAAACACACATTCATTTTTATACATATAGATCCATATAGGAGTTACCAAAACCCACTTATGAAAGTCCACCCAGTGGACAGTTCTCATAAATATTGACGTGGATGTTAAAGGTCT